AGATACAAAAGTACTCTGTTGAAAACATGGCGCCGTAATTCGGAGATTTCTTGTTCCCTTCGAGATGTGCAAGCTGCAAGAAATCGTTGTATAATTTCGACAAACGCGGCTGCGCCCAAAACGCCTGAACGGTTCGAATGCTTGAAAATGCTTCCTCTGCCAACGCACTAGCTTTGGCATAGAATCCCAGAACATTTGTCTCCTGCTTTGCATCAATCACAAGGCAGACGGCCAGAGCCACCACTATCACCGGTACAATGCAGATTCCAATCAGGGTTAGCTTCCACTGCACAACGAAGGACACGATGAAACCAGCAAAGAAGGTCGACGTAGCCTGGACTGTCAGGGCAAGTTTTTCGGCAATGGCTTGGTTGACGAGATTTCCGTTTGTAGTTACATGCATTGCAGTTGCCCCCTGGTTCGAGGAATCGAAGAAGTTGATATCCTGGCGGAGAGTCCTTTCAAGAAAATCGACGCGGAGAGCTTTGGTAGTTCTGATGCCCGCAATTGTGCTGGCCACCTTTTGGGAGTCAGCTTCTGAAGGTCAGCAGAGAGAGCTTTTTGGCATGGTCGTCAATCGTTACCGTGAAGATGTAGGTAAGTCCGAATTTAGCGACAAAGAGATATATGAACCAGAGACTTGACATGATTAGTTCACATGCCCCACGCTCTCTGGGAACCCAGGGTTCGAACTCACGCAAATTTGTTCAATTCAGAGCGAAACTTCTCCGGTGACAGCAGTCCCGTGGCAAAATCTGTTGTATCTGTTACAAACCCACCAAAGACCAGAGTCATCAGAGGCATAGCCGCCCCCGCCCCGACAGCTGAGACGAAAGAGACGAGATAGAGCGCCAAGGAAGTTGAATCGGCATAGGTAAACACCCTCTATTTCACATTAGAATTCCATGACACTCAGTCCATCAGAAACAACGACGATAGAGGGCTCACAAAGAGTTGTCCCATGCCGCCGCCCTCCTCCGACTTCTCTTCCTTGAGCTCACCATCGGCGCTGGGAACTGACGACGGCTTCTCTTCAAACGACGTCATCCTTGAGAGTCGCTGGGGGATCAGCGACTAGGCTTTTTGCACGTAATAGTTTCGAGTTCGAACCCTGGATTCCAAACTCGCAAATATTTATACAAAGCCAGAAAAACCTGGAGATATTGATATGGATGGCCCCAGGCACCAGCCGGTCAAAATTCCCCCGAAGCCCGCTTCGCTTCTATGGCACTGCGGGGTCCGAGGATAGCGAGCCCGTACTCATTCTCCCAGGCCAGACGGTTCTAGGGTTATCCGGGAACAATGCCAATGGCCTGTTTCTCGTATTGAACGCGCAGAGTTTAGACCAGAGTCAACAATCGTCGCGTGTCTCGCTCGCCTTCTTCCTGGTATTTTCGTCCATGAATGGTTGGTTGGTCGCTAGTTGGAGAATATTGCGCCCTTTCGAGGAACGACTCCATGTGACTTCGGGCCTCGAGCGGACCAGCCTCGGGCGAATCATCGCCGAAACAACCCGTGGGCAATACCCAAGCCGCACTATGCCGATTTGCGAGAGACGAGACGTTCGGCAAGCCGCTAGTCGACACTAAGGCAAAGTCGGCACGCGCGGAACCCGAACGACACAGAACGAACACAGCCATCCGCTGTTCTCGGGGGCGGGAAAACTGTAGGATTGGTTGAATCTCTCATATTGGTGAGGCCTAGCTAGCTATCTAATATACCCTATATCACGTGCGGCGGGGGGCGGCAGCCCGGGCCAACCATACGCCCAACAAAAACAGCCTGTTCGGGCTTCTTTTGCTACAGGAATCACGTGCAGTGGGGGCCACAGGAAGAAAACAATCTCTCACGGGTTGTTGCGACAGACAGATTTCACAGTCCCCTGGGGTGTCGGGAAAGGTTCTGGGATTTTGCGGGGTGGCAGAACTTGATGGTCAATGACCAGAGAATCTGAAGCGTAACGGCGATAGGTAACGTTTTATCTACTGTGAAGCTCAGAACCAACCTTGGCGTGAGGTAAAATTTCCCAGGCGCTTCACCAGATACAACCCTCCATCCCTGACGTGATGGATTCTGGCCCGTAGTGGAATTCCATTGGCTCTGAAAGATAACTGCCCCAATTGCTATTGCTACCTGCCTCTTCTCTCGGGCCCAGATGGACATTGATGGGGGCGAGGTGCCACAGGGGCAGGAGTCGTCCGTATCCCGAGCAGTATGTCCTGCGGATATATGAAGAGACATATATATTCCCATCCCCTCTTGCTAACCCCCCATGCCATCGTGCGTTGCTCTGATGTCGAATTGCAAACTTGAATCGTTGCTGACGTCTGAAGAAATAGTGTGACAACTGTCGCATTCGAAAGGTTAGGCCATCTTATCCTTCAATTCCCAATGTTTAAAATCATTCTCTCATTTAACTACCCCTCCTAGATCAGATGTGATCGAGCCTCACCCTGCTCCAATTGCCGAGTCGCAAAGTCTTCTTGTCGAACCTCTCCACGAGTTAGAGACAAGCGGCAGAGGGTTTTAATTTCTCATCAATAGTATGCCATTTCTCTATCATTGAGGTTTTATTATTATTATTATTATTATTATTTCTTTTGGGACCATAGGAAAGAAAGAAAGCATGACCATTACAGCTAAAAGCATCTGTTCCGCAGTGAGAAAAAGATCGAAATTATTGACCAGCGTCTTGCGGGGATTGAGCAACTTTTACGGTACCTTGCCGTCGGCGACAAAAATTATAAACCTCCTTCACAAACCCATGGATCGTTATCCCCCTCGCCCAGCTCGAATGCATTTCATCCAGATGCGTTGGAACAAAGAGACCGGCCGCCACTTCATGCCTCTGCAATTGCACCCACCGCGGAACCAGCAGCAGAGCGAGGGGCAGAGTCGAGAACGAGGAAAACCCCGGATGCTGAATTCGAAGGGGAGCCCTCGATGAGCGCCCATTCTGCACACGCCAGCGAGTTGTTTGAAAATGCCGTGGTCAAATCTCCATTGGCAGAGCATAACCCGCAGATGATGGATGCGCTCTCAGCCCTGAAGGATATTGTTGAGAGAACAAAGCTGTCGTCCTCCATTCATACGTTGCGATTTGCAGGGCAGAAACTCCAACCCACCAAGGTCGATCTGTCGAAGCTGGAGATGCCGCCGGTGGAGGCGGTGCTCGCTCTGCTGAGGAAGGCAAAAGGTACGTTTGCTCTCTTCCTGCTACTCCGCCATCACCCTCGACACCCTTTTAAGCGTATGCACGAAGTTCAGATCCGCTAATCGATAGTAGAATCCCACCCTTTCTTCCTGTTGAACCTCCCTTTCCTCCACTTGTCCACCATCACCCAACTCTGCAAAGATCTCTATTTTTGCCCAGATGAAACCTCCACCGCCAACTTCGCCATCGTAAACTGCATTCTAGGCTACATGTTTGACGAAGTACAGCATTTCCATCCAAACTCTAACTCCCAGTCCCCTCCCTCGGGCCCTCACCACCCTCAACACCTCCAGCCGCCGCCGCCGCCACCACCACCGTTAGCATCATTCTCCTCCTCAGCCATCTCCCAGTACACCGTAACCTGCCGCACAAACTTCGAAACGGCCCTCAGCACCTTTGACCTCTTCCTCGAGCCCTCTTATGAGAACATCCAGGCCCTAGCTTTAGGTGCCTTCCACGCCACCGAGGCTTCCAAACCCTCTCTATGTTGGACCTTCGTCAGCGCCGCAGCGCGCATGTGCCAGAGTCTAGGTTACCACCACTCCGTCTCGGGCGCAGGGGTCAGCGAAGAGGAGCAGTATCGGAGAAGAGCCCTCTTCTGGTTCATCTATGTGCTGGATAAGGACCTGACACTATTGCTGGGCCGCAGCTCTACCCTTCAGGACTACGACATCTCTCTTGCATACCCAGGCCCGCCGTCGGACCCGAAATTGCGGTCATGGTACCAGATGTTTGAAGGATGGGTGACGTATTCGACGATTGCCGCGCAGATCTATGAGAAGCTGTATTCAGCACTGGCGTTGTCGGAAAGTAGCGCAATGCGGACGGAGAGGGCCTGCAGTTTAGCCATGGATGTTGAACGGTGGAGAGCGACGCATATTTCCGTATGTTCCCTTTAGATATCACATCCCTGACACCCCCCCCCCCCCCCCGTTTTCTCCCTTTTTAAAACCCCCCCCTCTAAAATATTTCGGGGGAGGCCGAACCCGCCCTAACAGCCCCCCCCGCCTGTTTTTTTCAAAAACCCGGCCCCCTGTTCCAACTTAACTTCCACTACCCAATCCCAATCCTATACCGGGGAAAAACCCCCCCCCAACAAGGACTAACACCCCGAAAAACAACAACAACAACAACAAGGCCCCCCCGAGGACCTGGCAACCCAAACCCAAACACTCCCCGCTTCCCCGGGACAAGGCTCGAACCAGCCTGGGTCAACGCCGCCCGCAAAGCACTGGGGCATTCACCAAGAATTCCTCCTCGACTTCACGCAACGACAAGCGAGTTCCCTGTGGAAGGGATATATAGTCTGGTCCCTCCTGCACTGCCCTTCACTCCCTACCTGGTCATATTACGCACACGATAGCCACGGCCGACCCTAGCCGCCTAAAATTGCTGGAGGAAAGTGTCTGCCCTCACTGGAGAGCGCGAGACATATCTCTGAAGCGGGCGGAGAGGCTTTTTAAAGCTGTGTGCTGTGTTCTATCAGGTTGCGCTGTTGTATGTGGACGTTAGAATGAGGGAGTGGGCGCAGAGAGGCGGGGCCGGTGCTGGTGCTGGTGCTGGTGCTGGTGCTGGTGCTGGTGCTAATGCTAATAATGCTGTTGCTGTTGCTGTTACTAATTCCGGTGTTGGTATCGGCGCTGTTGTCGGTGAGGGGGGGGGAGGTGGTCATGGCATGGTAGGTGATCCGCAGCAGATGGAGCAGCAGTGGGGAGCTGGTGAAGTTGACAGTTACCTGTGGGAGTTGGGCTTTGGGGTTCCAGCCGGCAGGATGCTGAGCATGGGTAGCAGTAATGATTTGGGCATTGTAGCGGGCAGTGGCGGAGGCGACAATGATGATGGCAGCGTTCAGGCAGCGTCGTCGTCGTCGTTGCAGGATTGGTATCGTGGGAACCAGTATATGATGGGGTTATTGGAGTCTGATTTGTAGGCTGTTCGGATTTAGCAGATTATTCGATGCGGACTCTAGACAACTAGCTGGCTGCGTGGGTTACAAATATTTTCAGTTGTATGATGGAACGGCTCTTCTACAGTCGGAGGACCCACCTGTCCAGGGCCTACCCTCCTATCTCTGACGCCGGGATACCAAGCGCAAGACCATTACGAGGATGCACGAAAGAGAGAATATATAATGAATTTGGTTTTCCTCAGTAGACAACGGCTTCTATCTCCTCTCCCCCGCCGTAGTTACTTAGCCAAGAATTTTTTTTTTTTTTTTTTCTCTTTTTTTTTAAAAAAAAAAAAACTAAAAAAAAATAGAGAGAGGAAGAAACAGTGCCGTTATCACATATCAGTTCATATATACCACCCCATAGACCAAACAGACGCACACAAAATTCTAACAGCTTCTTCTACTGGGGTATAATCATTAGACAAATGAATCCGAGCAAAGAGGACATCTAATAAAAAAATATAAACAAGAAAGACAAGGGGTGAGAGGGAGGTTGAAGAGATAAACAAATTACAAAAAGGAGAGCATTAGTGGTGGTATATAGAAGCAGGGATGACAAAGAGAAGAGATGCATCACATAGATGATTCATTCAGGAGGTTCTTCGTTCAGCAACAGGAAGAAAAGGGTCAAGAAAGCAAACAAGATTGTTAATATCAGAAACTATGAAAATTATGCCCTTCTCTAAAATCAAGAAAGAAAAGAAAAGAAAAGAAAAATTATAAATTAGAAAAAGAAAGAAAAGAAAAAATCAGAAAAAATAAGAGAAAATAAAAAGCAAAAAAAAAAAACCCCAAGTAGATGGAATGAAAAGAGAAGAGAAAAAACACGGGTCATGTCACAACGGCTTATCACAGCCAATCCGCCCCAACAACGCCTTCCGGTCATTCTGGTCACTCAACGTAACCCTGCCCCTCCCCGTCCGTATCCGAAGGGGATGATGTCCCTCCCTCCCCCCAGACGCCGAC